CATCTCTAGTTCACTTATGTGTGAAGTCTGACTGGAGGAACTTCCCCCCTTTCCATATTTGATAATTGAAAATGTGAGCCAAACAAGAATGCTACTATGCATTGAATAGTAATTAATTGTGAGAGTTTACTTTATTGACAGACTATATTCTGTTAATCATAAGCTCATAACTTCGTAAAAGAATGCCATTTTAAAGTGCACCAACGATTTTGATTTTTAACCAAAAAAAGCAGAATCAAAGATAGATATCAGATAAAAAAATGTGGCCCAGTTCTAAAGCTTTACATTGGAGTATCATAACTTCAAAAGCAAATCATAGCAACCCAAATACCAAGCTCTAATATTCGAACCTCCATCTACCTTTACTAAATTCTTTCAGCCTTGTGAAAATGGTGGCATACATGATACCCTTTCTATAGCTTTTAGGTTGCTCATGCTTCACACGACAAATTTCATTCTCTTTCCTTATTTTGCTGGTTATATGGATGATAATTTTATATGTTTCATGACTCTAATGGGAAGAAAGAAAGAGTAAAAGAGCAGCACTAGATAATGAGACACAAATGATGTCTATTTGTTGTTGTCCTATTTACAGGTATGACTTGGTTGACTTGACACGGCAAGTGCTATCGAAGCTTTCAAACCAAGTTTATATGGATGCAGTGACTGCTTTTCGAATGAAGCATGTCAAAGCTTTTAACCTTCACAGCCAAAAATTTCTTCAGCTCATAAAGGATATTGAAGTTCTTCTTGCTTCTGATGATAATTTCTTACTTGGGACGTGGCTTGAAAGTGCAAAAAAGCTGACAGTGAATTCTTGGGAGAGGAAGCAGGTAAGAACAATATTTCCGTAACTGATACTTGATGCTTCGGATATTTGACAGTGCAATAACTTGTCCAGTTATATTTTCCCCAGAAAAAACCTGTACTTTTTTAAGTGTTGGGCTCAGCTGCCAGAATTACCTGTTATTAGTACATGGTGGGGTGCATTTATCTGTTTTGTTTTCACTATCAAATTCCAATTGAATTATTTTCACCCAAAAAGAGAAAAGAATTAAACAGAAGATTTCTTGTCTTTCAGTCTACACACATTCTTAAGTTGGCCTCGTCTCTGTGGAGCACATTTTAAGCTAAGGTTGAACTATACCATTCCTTGATTGTGTCTTGAAGATACGGGTATTGCTAACTCTCTCGGAAAGATTCAAGTACTGATAATAAACTTGTAAAGAGAAATCCAGGCTGAATTTGGTATTTAACAAACATTTATCTGAATGGATTAAAATCAACTGGATTTTGGATGTAAGGTACTCATAGATTGCTTATTCATCATTCAGTAAAGGATGACAGACAGCTTGATTCTTCTTCTATTTAATTTTTTTTTCTTTTTTCATTTCAGTACGAGTGGAATGCTAGAACACAACTGACAATGTGGTTTGATAACACAAAAACTAATCAGAGCAGGCTACATGATTATGGTAATTTTCCTAATTAAGAGCTGTTAATTGACACTTCTTCACTAGTAAGGCTAAATTTTTCTTTGTCCATGATTAGCAAACAAATTTTGGAGTGGCCTACTAGAAGACTACTATCTGCCACGAGCATCAACCTATTTCACTTATCTGTCAGAAAGCCTGACAAAAAATGAAAGCTTCAAGTTGGAGGAGTGGAGAAGAGAATGGATATCCTTTTCAAACAAGTGGCAAGCCGGAAATAAGCTTTATCCGGTGAAGGCCAAAGGAGATGCTCTCGTTATTTCTAGAGCTTTATACAAAAAGTATTTTGATTAGTTATCTGGCACATTTGATACCTCAGGCAAGTACCCAAATTAGTCTAATACATTGGTAAATTGTTGGTCAGAGCTCGGCCAGTAGGGTTCCGGGTTTGCTGATATGATAAACTGTTGATTTTGCACAGATATGAGCAAGTGCTCTGAGTTATCTCCTGCAGATCAGCACCTGAAGTTAGCCTTTCTAAGGTATATCTGTATCTCAAGCTGCATGTATACCAGGCTTTATGGAATATTGAAGGTTGAAGAGAAGATTGAACCCAAGAATGCAGGTGTTGGATATACACGAACCAAATCAAAAGCCTGATAATTGATGATGCTGAATTGATTATTTGTTTTTTTAATACAATTTGATTGATATTGGCGACATTAATTGTTGGATTAAATTAAAATGAGTTCTTAGTATTATAACATCCTTCAAACAATATCATGCTTAGAAAGTTATTGGATTGCTCGTACTTCATTAGAGTTTGAGAATTATAATTTTCTCCCAACTCAACAGGAAAATAGCAAAAAAAATCCCCTTTTAAGGATGGAATCAATACCCCAATCGATACTGACATAAAACATAAATGAAATATATATATTTTATTGCTGTAATTAAACAACTTGGATAGATGCACGAAACAATTTGGATATTTGTTTTTTTTTCAATTTTTTACTGAAAATGTGTAATATCCATATTCGAAAAATGATACGAAATAAATTTTTTATTTTTTAATTATTAATTTAAAATAATTGATTAATTTATTTTATTTTTATTTAAGTAGAATTTTTATAAAAAATGAATTAAAAACGAGATTGAAAATAATTTTGAAAAAAATTAGTGAAAATTTAAGTTTTTGTATTTTTAAAAGAAAAATTGAAAATAAGGGGTTGAAGTGTAAATAGAAAAAGTTCAGTCATGTAGAACCACGCAATCAACAGTCTCGACGAATAAAAACGCGCTGCATGGTAAGGTGCGTTGATGTCGATGCCACACGGGAGGTCATGCTGGCGATCCGCGTGCCCCGTCATCAGACGACCCAAGATCGATCCCGCCCGCGTGAACAGCTAGACTCGTTTCTCCCTTAGGTGTGATCGGACGGTTGAGATCAATCGTAATGAACAGTTCAGATTCGTTTCCTCCTTAAACGCGATCGAACGGACAAAATCGATCGCGATGGACGATCCAGATCAACGCGAAATGGTTATAAATACTTCGCATCACACGTGAACCTAAACCCTAACCGCTAACCCCTGCCAGAGAAGAAAAATTGGAAGCCGGAGAAGAAGGTCGACTGCCAAAAAAGGTAGAAAATTTCCTTACCGGTTCGAAATTTGATTCTAAGTACTGTTGTGGCCAAATTAGTGCAAGAGAAACAGTGAGTGAGCCAGAAACCGTGGGCAAAGCCCGACGAAGCTGCCCCTGTTAAAACTCTAAAATTCCTCCGATGAACCCCTTTCCGATTCTCGTTTCACGTAATTTTTTGATAATTGTGTTTACCGTCCTTTTCTGTGTAAAGTAGTTGAAAAAAGAACCTCAGCTGCGAAGGAAGTACGACGGAGCCGCCACACCTGAAGATCTCCCTGCCCGGTAAGTTCAATTTTTTTTGTATTTTTTGGCCAACCGAGTTCTCTAACATGTTTTTCTACAGAGATGTAGCCAAAATCGGGCAAACCAGGCCAAGTCGAGGTAAAATACCACCGTTGGTGGTGGAGCCGGCGCCGGAGCACGGCGGCATCGCCATGCCAAAACTCTAAAATTGGCTTGAATAAATTTTGAACATTGATTTTTAATTTTTTGGGATATTTTTAGGTATGTGACGAGTGTTTTGAATTTTATATAAAAAATTCAGGAAACTCGGTACCTATTAGAAGGCGTAGTAGATAGGTTGACGTCTCCAAACACCGATCTGAATAAGGATCTCTCACCCTATTCTCCGTTACGATAAATTGAGGGTTAACGATGTATAATTTTGTATTTTTATAAAAATTTAGAAAATTTTAAAAATAATTACAGGTTATTAGTGGAGTCGGAACCGGTTAGTTCATAATTGTCTTGATTTCCTGTTTATTTTCCTGTACTGTACTACTTGCTTGATTTTCGTATAGCACATGTTCTTAATTTATAGTTCAATAATTTTATCAACTTATCTGGTTATTTTGGTTATATACCGTCAGTATGAATATAGTTTAATTGATATGTGAATTTGATATGAGATATTGGTATGAGTTTGTTGGTTATTTATTGATGAAAATCTGTATGTGAAGGACTTGCTGGTTACCCAATGAAAGGAGGAATGAGTCCGGTACATGAGGAATCTACCGTGAACGTTACCTCAGTCAGACGGCAGTGGAAAGTTTCTTACCGGGAAGGTTTGGGAGATATGGTTCACCCTCATACCGGATAAGGTATCGAAGCGATGGAATGTTTGACACTCATTATCGGACATAGTATGGGGACGGTCAGTCAATTGTAAAACTGGATATTGGGTTCACGAGTAGGGAAGACACCCCTATGGAGCCCAGGGATATCAGTAAACAGGTAAAAAAGGAAAGTTATTGTTTCTTGTTCTCTTATGCGTAAAAGTAAAAAATGATATGGAAATGAGTTTTTGTAGGTTGTTTTTGAAAAACTCATTATGATAAGTATTAAAAAAATATTTTCAAGTTTTAAATGTATGTAAATAAAGTAAAGGTTTCATTAGTTGTTTTTTATTTTTTTACCAATCTTTAGTTTTTCATATCTGTAATATTCTTAATAAGTTAGTGTAGCTCACTCTTTCATTAACTATTTTAGATCAAGAGAACCAAGATCTAGATCCTGATCAGTAAGAAAGTTGTGCGTATTTCACTATCCGGACTTCCTTCAAGTGCTAGTGAAGGTTGTCCTAGAACACTTAGTTATTCGCTTTTCGTTTTATTTCTTTAATTTCTATTTGTCTTTTAGAAGAGACATTCTCGTAACTCTATTGGGCATTTAAAATTATTGTGTAAAGAATGTAAACTCTAACTCTATTAATCGCTTTCGCATTTAATCTATGAATTTATTTTTTCTTAAATTCTGAGCGTCTACAATGGTATTAGAGTCGCGTTTCTCGGAACCATTCCTTACATAAAAACTTAAAAATACTAAAATACAAACTATCACTCTTAAGCATTCGTTGTAAAAAGTAAGTACAAGGGCATGAAGAGATGAGGACCCCTACTGAACAAAGCAGCTTGAGATGGGTCGTTTCGAGAAGATGTTGATGGCTCTTCGAGATGTTAGAGACTCATCTCTATCCAACAAGCCATGAAAGAGATGAGGGAGCTGTCTAACCATTCACCACTGTTTCAGTATGAGTCACCCCTACAACGAGAGGATTTAGTGTCATCTCGATACAACCCTACCCCTCCACCGTATCATCCTACATTGCCACAGTACAATTCGGTGCCCCACCATACAACTAGGTGTCACCACAGGGTCACCAGGTCCCTCCGCAACATAATCCAAGTCCTCTTCAACAAAACTTGCAAGCACTGCAGCAAGGACCATGGGGACCGGCCATACTATCGCCTCAACAAAATCTACCGCATCTGCAGAAGTGCCCAGCACTACACGAGAGAGGGTCTACAGAATCAAAAATCAGGCCAGATCTCCAGTTTATGGCATAATCTATACCCTCACCCAGTAAAATACTGAAGTCAACCCAGGCGTGATACAAAACAAGTGATTCCTATGGTCCGAGATTCTCCAGATATGTTATCTGATGAAATATCAAGATTGCCAGTGGATAGGGAAGTTGAATTTACCGTAGATCTTTAATGCAGCATTCAACTAAGTCTCAATCACCCCTTACCGAATGAGCCATGTTGAGATGAAAGAACTGAGAAAACAGATCAATAAATTGCAGGATAGTGGATTCATCCGATATAGTGTGTCTCCTTGGGGTGTTGGAGTCATATTTGCAAGAGAATGGGATGGGATGTAAGATTATATATTGACTATAGGAGATTGAACAATGTCATGATAAAGAATAAGTACATCTTCCCTAAAATTGATGACCTTTTTGACCAGTTACAGGGTATCCAAGTCTTCTCCAAAATAGATTTGCATTTAGGTTACCACCAAGTAAAGATCAGAGCATAGAACATTATCAAGATAGGTTTTAGAACCAGGTACAGATATTATGAGTTCCTAGTCATGTCCTTTGAACTAATCAACGCACCAGCCATTATTATGAACTTGATGAATAAGGTTTTTAGACAATTCTTGGATTAGTTCGTCATTATATTTATCGATAATATCCTACTCTATTCAAAGAACAAAGAGGAATACGCTCACCACCTTACTCAAGTTTTGCAGGTCCTTAAGGAGAAGAAATTGTATGCAAAATTGAGTAAGTGTTGGTTCTGGCTCCATCAGACTATCTTTCTAGAACACATCATATCAAAGGATAGAGTATCAGTGAATCCCGAAAAAGCTGAGGCAATGCTCAGATAGGAGAAATTGGTCACGGTTAAGGAGATTCGTAGCTTTTGAGAATGACATGGTATTACTGTAGGTTTGTAAAAAGATTTTCCAACCTAACCACTCCTTTGACCCGGCTCATAAAGAAGAACGTTAAATTTGAATGGAATATGGACTGCAAAAGGAGTTTTACAGAACTCAAGAAACAGTTGACTACTGAACCCGTGTTGGTCTTACCGAGTGGAACATGTGGATATACAGTGTATAGTGATGCCTCTGACCTGGGATTGGGTTGTGTTCTGATGCAGCATGGTAAGATCATAGCTTATAGGTTCACACAGTTGAAGAGTCATTAGAAAAATTACCCCACTCACGACTTGAAACTTGTCGCTATTATCCACGCTTTGAAGACTTAGCGTCACTACTTGTATGGGGAGACTTTTGATATTTTTACTGATCATAAGAGTTTGAAGTACATATTCACTCAGAACAATTTGAACATGCATCAGAGATGTTGGATAGAGCTCCTCAAGGATTATTATTGTAATATCTTGTATCATCCGGGTAAAGGCAATATAGTAGCTGACGCGTTTAGCAGAAAAAGTACAGGTATGTTAGCTCATATAATGGTTTATGAATCGCACAACATATGTGATTTCAGGACTTAAAGAGAGTTGCATGTTTGGCCCACCTGGCTGTCCAACCCTAATTGATTCAGAGAATAAGATAAATCCAATCAACCAATTCCATCATAGTCGTCCTCAAGAAAGATGCAGAACATGGAGTACATCCAAAATTTCGAGTCTCTGCCGATATATTGCTCAGGTTTCAGGACAAGTGTGTTTCAAATGACTGTAAACTAAAAAGGAATATCATGACGGAGGTTCACAGTTTTAAGTTCGTCATATATCCTGAAAGTACTAAAATGTATAAAAGTATGTGACCCCAGTTTTGGTAGAGTAGGATGAAAAGAAAGGTAGCTGACTTTGTTTCCAAGTGTCTAGTATGACAATAGGTTAAGGCAGAGCATCAACATCCAGGCGGGTTACTTCAGCCATTACCGATCCTAGAGTGGAAGCGATAACATATCACAATAGATTTCGTAACAGGGTTACCTCAGGCACATTCAGGACATGATGTCATTTTAGTAATTATCGACCGGCTCACCAAGTCTTCTCACTTTTTAACTATCAAGATGACCGACCCCTGAGACAGTTAGTAAGAATGTATATCCAAGAGATAGTCAGGTTATATTGAGTTCCAGTGTTAGTGGTATCCGACAGAGACCCTAGGTTCATTTCTCGATTTTGGTCTAGTTTTCAGCAAGTCATAAGAACGAAACTGTTCCTTAACACCGCATTCCACTCTCAAACCGATGGACAATCAGAGAGGATGATTCGCACACTAGAGGATATACTCTGATCTTATGTTCTAAACTTTGGGGGTCATTAGGATGATTATCCACTCTGATAGAGTTCGCCTATAATAACAGCTATCAAGCAAATATTGGTATAGCTCCGTACGAGATATTGTATGGCTGCCCATGCAAATCGTGAATCTGTTGGGAAGAGGTGGGTGAAAGAAAATTATTCGACTCAAATCTTGTAGAGGAGACTACATCCAAAATAGTTAAGATTAGAAAGAACATACAGACAGCTAAGAGCAGATAGAAAAATTATGCAGACTCCCATATGAGGGATTTGGAATTTGAGAAAGGTAACTGAGTGTTTTTTAAGGTCACTCCTTTTAAAAAGATCTCTAGGTTTGGTAAGAGAAAAAAATTAAATCTCCGGTTTATCGGACCATTTGAAATCTTAGACCAGATTGGTACAACTACCTACAAACTTTCACTACCTCCAGAGCTATTTAGGGTTCATAATGTGTTTCATGTATTTATGTTACGCAAGTACAACTCGAACCCCTCACACATCTTGTCTCACAAGGGCCTTTTACTCCAAGAAGATCTATCATATGAGGAGGTACTGGTAGACATTGTAAACTGAAAGAGTAGAGTACTTCGCAACTGAGAAATTTCATTCATCAAGGTCCTATGGCATAACCATACACAGAAAAAGGTCACTTGGGAACTAGAATCAAGCTTCCGGACCCAATATCCCAAATTATTCGACTGAATAAGAGAGTGACCAATTTGAGGAACTAAATTTTATGAAGGAGGAACAATTGTAATACATGGGTCCAAGAAACGACCCGAGATAAATTTTTTATTTTTTGCTTATTAATTTAAAATAATCGATTATTTTATTTTATTTTTATATAGAGAAATTTCGGCCATGTAGGACAACCAGTCAGCAGCCTCGACGAACCGTAATACGCCACGTGGCAAGTCGCACTAACATCGGTGCCACGCGAGAGGCCATGTTGGCGATCCGCGTACCCTGCGATCAAAAGGCCCATAATTGATATCGCACCTATGGACAACCCGAATTTCTTTCTCTCTTAGGCACAATCAGACGGTTGAGATTAATCACGATGAACGGTTCAGATTCATTTCTTCCTTAGGCACGATCAGACAAATGAGATCGATCGTGATGGATGACCTAGATCAGTGCGGGATGGTTACAAATACTTCGCATGACACGGGAACTTAAACTCTAGCTATCAGCTGCTACCAAAGAAAAAGAACCAGACACTAGAGAAAGAGACCGACTGCTGACCGCTGCCGCACCAGAGCTACCGCCGACCACCAAAAAAGGTAAAAATTTCTCATACTTTCTCGAAATTCAATTTCGAGTGCCCCTATGGCCAAATCGAAGTAAGAGGGACGGCGAGTGAGCCGAAAACTGCAGGTAAAGTCCGACAGAGCAGCCGTAGCTAAAACCCCAAAATTTCTCCGATGAGCTCCTTTTCGATTCTCGTTTTGCGTGATTTTTTTATCATTGTGTTTATCATCCTTTTCTGTGCAGGATAGGCAAAGAAAGAATCTTAGCTGCAAAGGAGGACCCGTGGAGCTGCCGCACTCAGAGGTTTGCCCCGCCGGTAGGTTGGATTTTTTTGTGATTTTTCAGCCAACTAAGGCTCCTAACGTGTTTTTCTGTAAAGATACAGCAAAAACCGACCTGGCTGAGGCGAACCACCGCCGTGGACGACAGAGCTGGCGTTGGAGCACGGCAGTGCCAGAACTCCAAAATTGGTCGGAATGAGTTTTGAACACTTATTTTGGATTTTTGGTATATTTTTAGGTATATGACGGGTGTTTTAAATTCTACATGAAATATTCAGGGAACTCGGTACATGTTAGGAGGCGTAGTAGACAGGTCAATGTCTCAAAATACCAATCCGGATAAGGATCTCTCACCCTATTCTCCGTTACAGTAAATTGAAACTTAACTATGTATAATTTTATATTTTTCTGAAAAATTAGAAAATTCTAAAAATAATTACAGATTACTAGTGGAGCCGAAATCGGTTAATTCACAATTGTCTTGATTTTCTGTTTATTTTTATGTACTGTCTTACTTGTTTGATTTTTATATAATACATGTTCTTAACTTATAATTCAATAATCTTATCAACTTATCTAGTTATTTTAGTTATATACTGTCAGTATGAATGTAGTTTAATTATTCTGTGAATATGATATGAGATATTAGTATGAGTTTATTAATTGTTTGTTGATAAAAATCTGTATGCAAAAGACTTGCTGGTTACCCAGGAAAATGGCAAACGGGTCCGGTACATAGGGAATTCTATCATGAACGTTACCTCAATCGGACGGGGCTCGAAAGTCCCTTACCGAAAATATTTAGAAGATATAGTTTACTCTCATATTGGATGAGATATCGAAGCAATAGAATGTTTGGCACCCATTACCGAATGGGATACAAGGACGACCGGTTAATTGTAAAATTAGATATTGAGTTCGAGAGTACGGGGGGACATTCCTATGGATCCCCAATGGTACCAGTAAGTAGGTAAGAAATGAAAGTTATTGTGCTCGTTTTTTATGCGTAAAAGTGAAAAGTGATATGAATATGAGTCTCCATAAGTTGTTTTTGAAAAACTCGTTATGGTAAATATTAAACAAATATTTTCAAATTTTAAATGTATTTAAATAAAATAAATGTTCAATTAGTTATTTTTCTGATTTTTTTACTAATTTTCAATTTTTCATATTTGTGATTAGTGTGATATTCTTACTGGGTTAGTGTAATTCACCATTTCATTAACTATTTCAAATCAAGATGACTAAGATCCAGATCCCGATCAGCAAAAAAGTTGTGAGTTGTTCACTATCTGGACTCTTTTCAAGTGCTAGTGAAGGTTGTTCTAAAATGTTTAGTTATTCTCTTTTCATTTTATTTCTTTAATTTCTGTTTATATTTTAAAATAGACATTTCCTAACTCTATTGAGAATTCAAAATTATTGTGTAAGGAATGTAAAACCTGACTCTATTAATCGTTTCTGCATTTAATTTATCAATTTATTTCGCCTTAAGTTCCGGGCATCTGCAAAATGTATAATTAAGACTGATTAAAGGTATTTAATGCTTACATTGTCTTTATAAATTAAGGGCACTAAGGATGAAGAGTAGTAAATGGAATGGTGAATACCAATCGGTCTAATCCATAAAATTACTTAGAGAGTTTCATACTATCAAGAAAAAGTATGAGAACAATATGGGTTTTCCAAATCATGTGGAATAAAATTGTGTAATAGCTAGATATAAATAGACATAGCATTTTATACTTCATTAATTAATAATTTAACAAATGTTAGTATTGAATATATGTGTATATATATATATAGATATATGTGCAATACTACTTTCATGAAATAATTTGCTTGGTATTAAAATCTTGAAGATCCAAAATTATGATAAAAATTATAAGAATAAATTATGAGTAAAATCTTGGAACAATGGGAAGCCAAGAAAAAGTACAAGTACTAAAAAAAGGTAAGGTATTAGAAAAAGAAACAAGATAAGAATAATTTGTATAGGTTGGTGGGTAGGGAAGAATAGTAAGGTGTATGTATGGGTTTTCTGTATTTGACCAAAATCTACGCTACTTTGCTTGGTAGAATCACAAGAGTTTTGTATAACTTCCCATCAATCAATGAATCATTTTCAACACACAAAAAATTTTTTCCCAAAAATTCTGTGGTCAGTTTCAAATTTGAATTATTAATTTTATTTTGTTTGAATTAAATTTTGTGTAAATTATTTAAAATATAACTAAAGGATTACATCTATAGAAGTGACCCAAAGTAATCACTTGACCAAATGTGAGTAATTTTAAATTCATTATGCAAGTCGTCGGGTCCTTGACATGATTTCCTACTTCTCTTATTTTTACTAAGAAAAATTGA